GGGGGAAAAAAACACAAAGAGAGAATAAAATGATAAAGAGGAGGAGAGGGAGGGCGAACAAAAAAAAAAAAAAAAAAAAAAAAAAAAGAAGAAGAGGAGAAATCGGAAAAAAAGGGTCAAAAGACTGGTTGGGGGGGGGGGGCTGTAGTTCAAAAAGAAAGGGGGGAAAAAAGAAGAATAGAAGAAGAAAAAAAAAAAAAAAAAAAAAAAAAAAAAAAATTGGTGGGAAATTTAAATTTTGGTGGAGGGAGGATGGGGGGGGGAGGAGAAGGGTGGCCTCTCGAAAGGGGTTCCAAAATAAAAAAAAAAAAAAAAAAAGGGGGGGGGGGGGGGGGGGGGCATATATCGGGAAAAAATAAAAGGAAGCGAAAAGGTAAAGGATTGGAAAGGGAGTTATCCGCAGCGGCGGTGGGAATTATGTTCTCCTCCCACCCAAAAAAGAGCAGATGAGGGTGCTGGTCAATAAAAGAGACAAATTTGCGTCTTCCTTCATGGACATGCTAAATAAGAGTATACGTCGTCGCCTAAGAAGGATGAGCGCGGCAGGTGTGTCCAGATGGTAGTGGTTAGCCCTTGGCTGCTCTGGGTAACCCGACCTGCGGGGGCGGACCCCCTGCCTCCCGAAGGAACCCCCGGCCCTCCGCGTGCGTTGCGTGAGAGTAAGTCTCCCCAAACCCAAGGGCCGCCCCTCGGCTTCCTGGCTGACCCGTTCTCATAGGCGAGGATCTAAAACAACAAAGTGGGACGGCGGATCAGGCAGCCGAGGTTCAGCGGGTCACACGGGATCCGGAGGGCCGATCGAGGTGTTATCAGGAGCTTAGTGTCAGATGCTTCTACCTGCTGCCCATGCCAGAGGAATGTAGATCTACTAAAGAACTGAGCAACTTCCATCTCATCTTCTCTTTTACTCCTTGTGCATCACATCGTCTGATAGGTAACCCACCTAGTTACCCGCCCACTCTTGCTTTTGATGCTTTTTACTTGGTTATGCAATAAATTCACTTATGTGTGTACAGACATGTAATGGGTCTGATAGGGTTTGCTTTCCTAGAGTGTAACTCTTAGAAATACTGGATGGAGGTTACGTTAAAAGCCACAACTTGTACTCAAATGTCTCTATAGAACGCAGAGTTCAGTTCCAATCCAGATGGAAAAGTTTTATTATTATTTATGATATGAATAAACTGTATTTTCCCGTTCAACCATTAATCTCTCTCCGTTAAAGCACAAAGCAATATGAGCAATTCACCCCGTGTCCTCAAACAATAAGCCGCACAGCGCATAATGAGGACGGATGCTGCGTTCTCCTCTGAGATCGGTGCGGTTCTCCTCGTGGTCTCTAGATGGCACTAAGTCATAAGTCTTCCTCAAGCGCATGGGAACATAATTAAAAACTGAGCGATATGTTTTTGATTTAATTAAAGCTGCACCTTGCAGCGCCGAGGCGGATGGGGAACGTTGTTTTCCTTGAGAGGACAACGGAAGGTCCACCGCCTCATTCCGGAGATGTTCCTCTGAATCCAGCTCAATGAACACATGACGGCTTGATGAAGGCCTCCTCTCTCGATGTTCCTTTAATGCATCAATTAGGTTGAAATTACTGAACTAAACCCCCCCCCTCTCCTAAAAAAAGAGTGAGGAATTTGACAAGCAGAGGCGTCGACACGTGGAGCGCTTGGAGGTGTGATTGCACCAAAGTTCACGTGGCAGCGGGCTTCATTGTGGCCCGTCGGGGTCGTCGCTAATTCCTCACTGTTTCCTGTCTTGGGCACGCGGCATAATGCATCCCGTTAAGTCCCATTGTGCCGCGATTCACCGTCCAACCAGAGGGACCCGCTGCAAAGGACACCCCCTTTTAAGAGCGTCTCACCGCGCTACTTATCAGTACAGTGCAGGGAGCACATGGTGTATGTTGCACGCAGCTGTATCTTCGTAAAAGCTTTTTTTTTTTACCCTCCTATCATTCGGCATTACGGCAAAGTGTTCTCAAATATATGAATCCTACAAAAAAACAAATCCTAAGAGCTGTATTTCTGAATCATAAGTAAATGACACCTTCTGCCACGCACACACACACATATACTCATTTTTCTTCTTCGTAGGGCCCGAACTTATTTGACCCAAATATGGGGTCCACCATTTCTAGTGATGCTACACCTCTATAAAACATCAGGTAAGATGAAAAACAATATATATATAACCACCATGACTTCAATTTATTAAAATGAAGATTCATTTTTCCTCTGTCTTGTTTTTTGTTTGATCTTTGGCTTCTGTCCTCATGCCCGAGGACTCTTTGACAAGTGGACAAGAGACGGCGGCGATCAAACTACCGACCCTGCAATTAATGAACTAACGCTCTCCCTGGTGAGCCACAGCCGCCCAACGCTGAATCAGATGCAGCATCTTAAATGTTTCATGTCAAAGAAACACTGGTGGTCCGTAAGCCCGTTTTATAAGATGTTTCTGAAGTGATACGTCCATAATTTGTCGAATCAAGCTGCTTAAATGTGAGGATTCGCCGCTCTATCATTTTGAATTTTGCTTTTTTCTGCACCTATATTCCTACTATCACTTGGAGTGTCTGAAGCAAACATTTTACTGTCGCGTTTAAGCAACTTTGGAGTGTCAGATGCATCTGATGCAGCACGTTCGGTCCTTGGTTGCCTTAAACATCTGCGCTGTCGGATCGGAAACGTAGCCCACTGCTGCTCTTAGTTAAAAATGTAAATTCTTTTTGAATGCCTCTTGCCAAAGTGGACTTGGCAAAGCCAACGAAGGCAGGCAGCCATTAAAGGTAATGGTCTTGTCATTAGGCCCGAGGGGGGGGGGGCGGGAGATAATGTGCTGCTACATGGTACACGTCAGTAATGTTTAGGGACGTCCTCACCGAAGCAGCGTTTTGATGTCTGCAACATTTCCCCTGAAACGCTGCTGTCAACATGCACCTCTACGTCCCCTCTGCACTTATTGTAAGTCGCTTTGGACTTAGCGTCAGCTAAACGACCTGTAATGTAATGTAACTTGAAATAAACTGTACATGTGGTTACTACACATAGGTTTTCTGACTTGTAATCAAAAGATACATCCATGGCAACTAGAAGATAAGAATTCTTCGCCCCATTGACTCTGATTACAGTGGGAAATGCATTATATGAAAAAACGCTGCATACATTCAACGTGCAGTTCTGAGCGTTACAGATTTGCATAAGAAAGATATGTGTTTGCATCCTGCGATGGATGGACGGATCAGAACTACCGTCACTAAGAAGAAATGCACCCCTGTTATTGTTGTTTCTACCACCATTTCCCATTTCTAGTCCAATCAATAGTACAGTCAGTTGCAGCCACTGCTGTGACTTAATGGTGAAGGTAAACTGTAAGTGGCCTCGGTCATTCTTTTTAGTCCCCTGCATCTGACAGTTGTAGAAGTTGCTTTATTAAGATTTCAGGAGCAGGACACGTTTGCTGACTCATTCGGATGCATCTTCATAGATTAACGGGAAAGTCAATATATAAACTTATATTTACCCGAGGGCACAGTTCAGTTCTATAGGCGTCTTATATGTGTTAAAGTTTTTACAGCCATAGTTCACACGAGGCCTCGTTCTCGGGCAGCATTTAAATTGCGTTGCTGTATGAACTACATATTGCAATACAGTCATTAAAATCCAGTCGAAACAGCTGCCGCTATCGCTTCTACTCCCACCACTGTGTGTTCCTGCCTCCACCAGCAGCTGCCGAGCGGCTCATCCATTCAAACAACGTTAATAAAAGCACAATGGCAAAAAAAACCTTGTTTCCCTCTTAGCCGAGTTCGCCGGCAGGTCCGGCAAAGTTTTATGTGGGCGGATATCGAAGGTTGCAGCCAGTCAAATCCAGGTCGGTGAAGTGCGTGCGTGTGTGTGTGTGTGTGTGTGTCTATGTTGTGTTATGCACTGGACGAACGATGTGAGCGCATTGAGGGTTTCCATATAAGCAACAGGCTCTGACCAAGATAAGCCTCTTGGGAGTCGTGCGGTCGTCTCTCTTAGGGCAGATTAAGTACACACACACACACACACACACACACACACATCTGTCCACATGTCCGTCTCGCTGTCATTCTCTCTGTTTCTGCCTCTGTGGACCTCCAAAGGATGGTGCGTCATGTAGAGGTAGAGGAGTTCTGGGAATTTTCTGGTTATTCCCCCCCTCCCCCTCCCTCCTAACCTCTAAAACATCTGTTTCTCATTTACATACTGGGGCTAAGTTCAGTTAAATGCAGGGGGGGTGGGGGCTGGAAGGCTTGTGTGTGGCGTGTGTGTGTTTCTCGTATAAATACTGTTTCCAATATGTGATCTCCAACATGGACGAACACTCTTCCTAAATTATTAAACAGCACAGATTTGCCACCAGCGGGTTCTGGAAGATGAAACCTCAGAGTCCCACAACAAATATCCCCGGCCGAAACTAAAATGTAAGATATGTCGTGGTCATGATTCCAATCAAAGAAGTCAAACTGATCCTTTAGAAAAGGAAGGGTGAAGACTTATATGCACTGAAAAAAGCGTAACAAAGCTGTTGTTCATTTAATGTGTTTTTTTTCATTCCAATGAATAAAAAAAATTACTTTGCTCTATTAAACTAAACTTTTTTATTTATGGGTTAGGGTTTAATCGAATTTTTTACTTTACTACAATGTAAACTGATAGCAAGGCACCAAACTGATTTTTTTTATTTTAATCAAAGCATTTTTATTAGATTGAGTGATTCGCGCATGCGCATTTTTTAAAAAGTTCTGGCGGAAACTTATTTCCACCTCAATCTTCCATTGCAGAAGACGTTGTGAAAAATATCAGACCCCACGGCATTTTGGTAACGTTAAGGTAAGTCATTACGATTTTTAAAGATGACTGGGCGAAAATGTTAGCCCGCAGACAAAGTGTCTGTCTTAAGTGTCTTAAGTGTTTGCTTTTGTGGGCAATTAATCGTTCGGCTATGGTTGGCGCTGGGGGGAGGGGGAGCGGAGGGAGGGCTTGCCGCTTGTGATGTGGGAACAGATGGCGGATAAGACCCAGTGTTCCAGTCGACGTTTACATTCTGAAAAGCGTATATACGGCGTTAGCGCGTAGCTAACTACCTAGCTAAAACTATATACGGCGTTAGCACGTAGCTAACGGGCTACGTTAGTTAAACTCCCGGTGTAAAAATAAAAAAATGTTCTTGTGACTTTTGGATAGTGGAATAAATATTACTGGTACTGTGGTGTTTACGATGCTATTGTGCTGTGTGTTATTGCTTACTGTGCTGTATTTTCTCGTTTTGGTAAAGCTAAACTGACTTGTGTAATAATGAAGCAATTTAAATAATGTTTTGTCAGGTATTTTATTTCATAGGCATAGTAAATCCGATTTAAAAAGAACAGAAGGCATAATAATGTTTTGTCATTTTTAAACTGTATTAAGATGTAGTTCATGTAACATTGAGAATATCCATCATTAAAACGTTTTTTTCTCTTAATTTAAGGAGAGCTGCCACAAGATCCACTGTGTTCCTGCTGTGCAACCACCAGTTTGGAAGTCCCTCATCTTATTGTAGTAAGTTCTGAGTACAATATCATGAGTGTATTTGTGATAATTAGATCACTCTCCTAAAACCGTCCTTTCCTCTGTCTTTTTATTTTTCCTCAGTTATCCATGTATGTGGAAATGTAAACTACAGAAAAACAACAACCGTCAAACAATAAAAGAAAAGATGGCAAAGACGTTTGGATACCGTAGACAAGAAATAGTGCATAAGCAGCCGAGCATTGAAGACATGTTGACAAGATGGCCAGCACTTTTTCAGATGGAAGAGGTATGTTTTCAGATGCAAGGCACTGTAAGCCTATTTTTGAGAGGAGAGGGACTTAATATATTTGTTAATGCCAATGGTGTTCAGCATTCATGAAAGATTATTTTTTTTTAACCTTAAAAACTTAGGTCTTTTCAGAGGAGAATTTATTTAATACACTTTTTAAAAGTTCTTTCTGCGTGCTCTGTTATTGTTTCTCCAGATTAATGCTGAGTTCATGCGGGTGACAACAGTACCCTTGGAGACAAAGTTCTTAGCGCAGTTGGACAAGCACACGTCAAAACTGCTGGAGGTCATCAGGAGCAAGGGAGGGCGTGTGAAAGAGCTGACCAAGGCAACTTTGCAGGTTTTAGATGAGGTATCTATTTATGAATTGGTTCTTAATGCGATCCATAGTTGAATAGTTGGTGTGTATGTGCTTTTATTAATACCTATATTTCCTCAGACCGTGGACATCACAATTAGAAGAGAGTGCATCTTCAAATCTTTGATGATCTACCTGGGTGAACCTGTTCATCATCTCGTTAAAGACTGCCAGGTAAGGGCATCTCCCTCACTAACACAAACAATATCTATATACCAACTTTGCTTCAACAATGATGTTCAGCATTGGCATGCATTGTCTTCAGGGCATGTTCTTTCAAATTGTCCTCATTTCTTGTTTTTTTGTGTGTGCAGGAAAATGAAGCAGCCATGGTAATCGTCAGTGGAAACGAGGACATTAAAATCGTCATTGACGGAACAGAGGTCCTCAGAGAGGTGCCCACAATAGCAACGGCTGTTGCTATGTTCTTCGGGCTCACCTATGTTCTCAACATAAAATATCCCAAAAATCTGCACTATACCCTTGAGTTTGTGCAAAAGGTCCTGATGAAGCTTGGTGGAAAAAAGATGTCCCCAAAAATTCATAGGCTGAGTACCCAGCTTGGCAGCCAAGAGTAGGCACAGTAGAGTTCCACTGTTAGGCCTGATTTAATGGCATTTCTACAACCAAGACTTTGTACCGTTTTATCTGGGGTTGGTGTTTGAAACACTTGCACAACTACATTTCTGCTACAGTATGGACAAAAGAATCTGCCTAAGGTTTCACAGGCACAAGTGGGTATTGTGCTGGAGAGCACTGATTTGTTTATTGCAGCATTTTCTGACCAAGAGGATCAGGAGCTACCTCACTCGTTTGCAAGTTATGGACTGAGCTGAGGACGTTCACACACATCACTTTTGATTTTAAGGAATAATTCCTCTCTGACTGTATTACATTGCATTTTCAAATGGTCACTGTTCAGTGAGAAAAATGTTCCCAAATGCTGTTGGTTTACTTGAAAATGCATGTCTTCATTACTGTTTGTGTTTGAGATGTGATGGTTGAGAAGCACTGGTTTATGTTAATACAATGAGATGTTGCTGTTGTATTTGAGGGGAAAAGACATCATTGAGAAGGACTGTTTTTAAGGTGGGACTATGTTGAAAAAAATGTTCATTCAACAATAAATGTGTTAAAAAGGAATGGCTTCTGAGTTTAAATCAAAATGTATTAAAATATCTTTTTTTAATTCAGGTCTATAAATATTAAAGTATCACTTTAAATTTTTATTTGAGACAACTTAAAAAAATAGTTTTCTCCGATATTCAAAAGTTGTTTAAATGAATTTAAAATGTTCAGGTTTAACAAAGTAGATTATTTACATTAAGCAATAAAACCAATGTATTTATTTTAATTTAGGAAAATCTGAAATAATTGCTTTGGTTCAACCTTCAGAAATGGGTTTACACGAAGTTAAATATTTCAGGTCAAATCAAATGAATTATTTATATTGTATAACACTAGAATATTAGTTGTGATCGATTACCTCAATTTTTCTAATTTGAGCCAATGTTAGATTTTTTTCAGTGTGTGCGAAGGATCATTCTCTATTAATCTCTATACATTTACTTTGATGAGGCCAGCGGTGGAAGAAGTACTCAGGTCACTTACTTAAGCAAAGATAACAATACAACTGTGTATAATTGTGCTTAATCGCAGTACTTCAGTAACTGTTCAGTAACCACCTCAATTATTGTTTTACCACATACGGGGGAGCAAAGTCGAATGACATTTTACCAAAAGCGACGTCCTCAATATCAAAAAAGTTACTGCACTTTTTCCAAAATATATCACTCAGTAATCCACATGGCCGCGAACCTTGATTTTAAAATCTATGAACTGTTCTTCTATAAGTGGATCTGCGCGTGCTGGATGACGGCTGTGTGACCTGATGCAACCCTTTGCAATGTACGTTTTTTCACAGCAGACATTTGGACTCCTTGAGCTCCTTCAACAAGTGTAACATGTAATGTTTGTTCAAACATTTTCTGTCTACAACAAACCAAAATGTTGCTTTTGACTGCCGCAGAAAATCGGATAGTTGTAAGTCGTTGTTATAGAAGACATCTTATAGGAATTTATCATCTCCAGATTCAGGTGAGGAACCTAATGCTAGAAGGTTTTATCCACACCACATGGTATTTACTGCTTTTCTAACAAAACCGACCACCAAGTCAGCCTGAGCTGAATAAAGTGGAAACAGGAGCAGGTCTACGTGTCCTGTGAATATGGGATGGATGTATTTTTTATGCCTTTAAATACACTATGATTAGTCAGTCACTTGTAATGCAATCACAGTTTTCCCCAAATAAAATGTCTCAGAGATTTCTCCATTCCTTAAAACACTCCATTTCAAAATACATCATTTGCTACTAAAGATTTGGCTACTATAATCTCACTTTTAGATATACATTTTTTTTATATAGGGCAACTTAACTACTTCAATATATTTAGAATGCATATCTGGTGTTACCAGTTTTAATGAAATTAGATTAAATAAATGAAATGCAGATAATGCTAAACTCATTCATTGCATTGCAGGGAGTCCACTGCAGTATATTTTAGTCATTGCTGGAGTAGCTGCTGGCAAATAATTCAGTTGTTAAGAACTGTGCGGCCTATTTGACCACACAAAGAAATGTTTCTCTTGTGTTGCTAAATGAGGGATTTCTTTGAGTCGAAGCTTTAAAGGGGCTCTCGTCCTTCATTATTCATGTTAATTAATGCACCAGAATCTCCGACTAATGCAATTTTTGAATATGTAAGTGTGTCTTGGTCCGGAGTAATGAGATATGCCAATAATAATATGCAAATCGGAGAATTATTGAATAGGCAAGACTGGGGATTTCTTATTAGTTTGTATGTTTATCTCACAAAATCCATCAATTTTTCAGAGCTTCTTGTGCCTCATCCAATAGGTAAATCTAATCAAACACTGAAATCAATAATTCAGCTGTTTGTGTGCTGCTCTTGTGTGCGTCTGTGTGTGTAGTACAGTAGATTACAGTCTCCAAACTTTGTGGGCACCGATTCCACTGTAATGAACTCACGACTGATGTGAAATCAATACGGTTCATCAACCACTCGCGGCTTCGTTTGGATCACTCGTCATCAGCTGTTGCAAGAATTCTGAAACCCTATTGAAGCAGATGGAAGCGGCAGTGAATGTAGATTGTGTGTGATATATTGCAGCCAATGTGGCAATTCGGTAAAAAAAAAAAATTAAAAAGCTGTTCTAAATGTATTTTTTTCCGTCTTCTTCCTCATCGTCTTCTTCGTCTCCGTTCCCCTGCCTCATTTGCAATGATTGCGTTATCAGGGCAGCCAGGCAAAAGGGTGGAGCAACCATAATTTCAGCGCGGGATTAGGCAGAAATAACGAGGTCACCAAGTTACAGTTGCCATGGCAACCACACATCCAAGAACACAGGATGCCATTGCTTAAAAAAAAAAAAAAAAAAAAAAACGAAAATACAGAAGAAAAGGGGCCCAAGGATTTTTTTTCCTCTCCCTCCCTCTCTGGCTGTTTTTTTAATACCCCTCCCTCTCCATCTTCCTCTCTCTCTCTTTCTCTCATCCTCTCCTATTCCCTGCCTCGTTTTTTTTTTTTTGAGTAGCAGAGGGGAGCAGTTCACTTTCAGTCCTTCTATTTTCCAAAGCCTTTTGTTTCTGAAACATATTCAGGATTGCAAATTCACTGTTGAGTACATTTACATCTTTGTTCTTTTCATATTTGGTGGGAGGTCTCTCCATGTTGACCAGACTTCTTTAAAGCTTATTAGAGGACACCCCCCCCCCACACCCCCTCTTACCTACCATAGTCTTTAAAAAACAAACCTCTTGAGTGCTCCACATTCTTTTCTTTTAGCAGATTTTTGTTTTGGGGGTAAATCTATGTGAGGTGATCGAAGTCAGGAAAATAAGAAAGCTCCTTTTTGAGGGGAATCAATGCATGTGGTGCCTGCTCTGAGCATTGATTTGGATTGAAGTTTGCCAGAAGCTCGGGGCTTCCTTTCAAACAGATATCCATTCCCATGTTACACCTGGCTGCTGGTGAGACCAGAGCAAGCCGACTGAACGCATGCAAAGTCCAGATGGAGTCGGCAGCCAGTCCAGCCCGGTCATTTCGATGCGCTATTGATTGTCTTTGGGATGATGCCAATTAAACGAAGCCTGAAGCTTTCTGGTTTGTAGGATACTCGGTGAACCCTGCAAGGTAAACACCGGGGATGAATTCAGCTGTGCAGCGTGATGTGTGCGTCCGGCTCGGTGACAGTGAACCACAGTGGACGTAAGGTACAATTTAACACGTCTTCGCTTTAGTGCATCGTACCGACTCACAACCATATAAAGACTTCATACACTGTCTATGTGTGCACGCAGTATTTAAGTCATTAATGTCAGTGAAAGTAGCACAAACGTATATTAGTATTATTATAAATTCAAAATGTACCGTATTTTCCGCACTATAAGGCGCACTTAAAAGAGATACGGAGCTGCTTTCAGGGCGCGTCGGAGAAACAAAGCTGTCGTTCTCGCAGAGCACTTCATGAGATTATAGAGCGAGAGACGGCGCCCTTTTCTCTACAGTAGCTGAACCATCTTAACGGGGAAAATAAGTTATTCTAAAAGGAGCCCGTGGCAGGCGGCGCGGCTGGAGAGCAGCCCAAGATTTAAGGCGTGGATGGCGAGGGGGGCGGCGGGAGCGGACGCTCCTCGCAGCATCGATCGGACCCTGAAAGCACCGTCTCCACCTCCCCACATCCCCCCCCCCCATCCACCCGCCCCGACGCCAAACGTTTGACTGCAGTATCTGATGCGCCTTATAATCCGGTGCGCCCTATATACGAAAAATGTTCTAAAATAGGTCGTTCATTGAAGGTGCGCCTTATAGTGCGGAAAATACGGTACAAAAAATATTTTCCGACAAATATATACATATACATACATTACATATACAGTATAAACAGTATTTTATTGTATTACTAGCTAGCATTTCAGCGCTATTTGGGAAATGTGGACAAATTCAACGGTACAGTATATGGTGAACGTATCTATTAAATTGGGGGGGCCGCTAGATTTGGAGCGGATCTATGGCTCTCACATGGCGATGGCTTTAGCTCACAGCTAGCGCTGCTTGCAGCTAACAGTGCTAACAGCGGTAATAGTGCTACCTACGCCAAGACTGCTAACAAGGCTAACAGCTTTTGCCAGAGGGCGGGGGTACACATGGTTGGTTCCTTAAAGAGAGCGTGTTGTCTACAATAAGCTTTTACAAACCTCCGTTCATGTATTTTGTGTTTCTGACCACAACTGACTGGGGCTAAGGGCACCAGAGCAAACCCAACTTGCTTTAGTTTTCACCGTTTCTCCAGCTGGGAATGTTGGTATGGACGCGGGATCTTCAGTGAAAGGGCCCCAGGCGCAGGTTGCCTCTGGTGAAGTTTTCCCTTGGTGTTTTTTATCTGAACCAGAATATATTTGACTGGTGTCTCTGACCTTGAGTAGCCGTGTGTCATGCTTGGTGTATTTCCGAGGACCTCTCTGAGTTTTGCCCGTTCTGAACAGACGCGTTTTCGAGGGGCATTGCTCTATTACTTCAAATGAGCGGAAATAAACATTGTCCTTCTTCGTTCTAAAACATAAACACTACATGAACACACACACAAGCCTGTGGCCAATTTACAGGCTTTTACATATCTGAGTTCACCTGATCTGCATGTTTTTCCACTGTGGGAGGAATCTGAAGCACGTCGGGAACATAAGAAGTGTACACAGAAAAGATATTTGTACACACACTAGAGAAGGTTTTTTCCAAAGTGCATCATGTTCACCCACAGCTCTCAGTAAAAACAGTTATGATCTAAACAATACATGTGCAAACATGGGCAGGATTCAGAAATAAATGGTTAGAAATTGACTCATTATCTCGATGATGGAGATTCCCCACTTTTAACTTATCGATTCATCTATATTTCATTTTTTATTGTGATTTGAGATTTAAAAAGGCCCCTCTTGTTTAGGATGCAGTATATAATCCCCGAGTCTCTCTCCAGTGGTCCAGTAGCAGACCCAAACACGACTTCAGTACACACCAACCCATTTAAAAAAGAAATATATGAAAGCCAAATCTTCAAAGTTAAA